AGTTTTTGCCTTGAAGATTTGGAGACACTACTTATATGGCATATATTGTGAAGTGTTCATTGATCACCAGAATCTAAAGTATATATTTTCTCAGAAAGAGCTAAACTTGAGGCAGAGGAGATGGATGGAACTGCTTAATGATTATGATTTGAACATTCAGTATCATCCGGGAAGAGCTAATACTGTTGCTGGTGCTTTGAGCAGAAAACTGCCTACAAAGTTAAATAATTTGCTATATACCATTTCGATCGAAATTTCATGATGAATTTAATAAAATTTATTTCGTTGAATTCAGACGACATCGAAATTTCACTTAAATTCGTCGCGGCGCATCGATATGCGTGTGACGCACTCAAATGACGAATTCCGGGTTTTACAAGGAGATCTGACAACTATGCATCGATCTACAGCCAATTTGTTACCTCTTCACAATTGTCTCACTATACACGATGTGCATGTTTGTTATGTAGAAGTTTAAGAAAAGGGTGTACCCACCACTACAAGCTTCTTCCAATGTAGTTTCTAAGCATGGGTTCTGGCGTGGCCTTAGCACTCATTCAATGAAGTTATTTCCTTGGCTCGAGCCTGTGACTTTCATATCACAACGAAGGCAATTTAGTCACTGCTTGGGTCCCACACTTAGTATGGTAGATGGTTTACGTTTTGACATATAATATTTTTTTTCCTAAATAAACAGTTATAGAGAGAACAAACCTTTGTCACCCAACAAAGACCATGTTAGACCGGTCCAACCTGTATAGGAGGGACCGGTCTAGCCGGTCCTTACGAGACCGACAATTACATCCAACAGGCGGAGTGGAGCCGCAGGAGAGGGGGGCTGATCTGGAGGGGATTAATTAAGAAATATTTCCTAATTTAAGAGGACAAATTTGGGGGCTGATTTGGAGGGGATTAATTAGGAAATGTTTCGTAATTGAAGAGGGTTGATTTAGGGACTAATTTGGTGGCTGATTTGGAGGGGAAGAGGGCATATTTGGGGGCTGATTTGAGAGGGAAATAATTAAGAAAATATGGTAGATTTGGGAGAGAATTGGGGGAGGGTTGTTTGGGTATTTGCTATTTATTGTTTACTTTAAGTAGGTGATTTTTCTAGGGTTAGGGGTGGGTGTTGTTTGCGGATTTTAGATTGTTCTTAGGGTGTTTCGGCTCTTGCTGACAGCTAAGATTCGGGAGAGTTCGATCTTCCTTTCCAATTGAAGATCTACTTGGATATTGTCTTTCTTTCATAAAACTTTTAATAAAAAAATGTTTTCTTTTGTGTTCTTTTCCTTATTTTCTTGTCATTGTTTTCTGAAATGGCTGAAATCAGATTTCAGTCAAACACTTCCTAAATTTCTACAAGCACTTCCCAACAAATTGGTATCAGAACAATTTCCTAGGCTGAAATAGAAGTCTTCCCCGCTGATTTTGCTATGTTTCTTCTCCGATCTTGCTGTTTTCTGCTATTTGGATGCCAGATTTGCATCAAAGTTGCTTTTTTTTTGCTATTGGAGCCTAAATCCGGTTACCTATGGCAAGAAGAAAGGTAGAAGTGTTGGAATGAGAGACCAAACAATTGAAATCTAAAATTTTAGATCTCCAAACTCAATAATCATATCTCAAAAGTTAAATTTTAGCCATTCACGAGTACATAGATGTGAAACTTTTCATCCTGGAGGAGATGTTGAAGAAGTTGCTCAAGGCCATCCCAAAATGGCATCATCAGAGTCTTGAGGCGAGGGAAGCCTCCGATAACCAAGGAAGTTGGGAAAACTCTAATTTGATAAGGCAAAAGGAAGATCAGGAGGTAGAGATTCTATAGGGAGAAGAGAATGCATTTCCTAGAGCCTATTCCTAGTTAGGAGCCGGGTAGATGGTATGGGGAGAGACATGAGGAGGTTGGGCATGAATAAAAGGGTGCTGAATTTAAAAGGTGCGGAATTTTAATGGGGAATGACTAATTATGACTGAAGAGGTGCTGAATTTAAAAGTAGAGGGGTTGATTGTGATTAAAGGGGTGCTGAATTTGAAAGAAGAGGAGATGAATTTAAAAGGAGTGGAACTGATTATGATCCAAAGGGGGCTGAATTTGATAGGAGATGTGGGAATTTGATGAATGGTTTGAGTATGAGCGTATAAGGGATGATAAGGACACTTGGGGGGAACCGCTCCCTTGGGGAATGGGAAATTATAGAGGAAACAGGGGGAACAAAAGAGATTCAAGGGTGAGAAAATTGAAGATGCTTATTTATGAGGGAGATGATACCCATGGGTAGATCTACAAGATAGAAATATACTTTACCATCAATAGTTTGACGAAGGAGAGACTAACGACAACATGAAGTGCATGGAGGGAAAAGCGTTGGCATGATACTAGTGGTGTGATACGAGGTGACCTATATGAACCTGGAGAGAGTTTGAAGACTGCTTGTTGGAATGTTTCTATATTAGCAGGGGAGGGGACTTCTATGAGCAGTTCATTGTCGTAACGTAGGAAGGGACAATGGTGGAATACTGTGAGCAATTTGAGCACCTAGCCAACAGACTGGACCTACTTCCAGAGACTATACTAGAGGGGAACTTTATGAAAGGGCTCAAACAAGAGATTTGAGTGGAAGTTAGAGTGATGAGGCCTCGTTATTTGGAAGAGGCTATGGAGCCAGCCTAGTTAGTGATAGATCAGAGGCATCTAGAGATAGGGATTGGAGGCAACAAGTTAGGATGTTCGTACAGGATGACCACACCTTTTTGACATCCAAGGAGCCGACACTAAGTACTTTTAGGAGATCCTGAAGGAGAAGACTGTAGGAGGGAGACTTGGAGAAAATTTCAAGAAGCTCATAGAAACGACGTAATAAGAGAGAGGCATACACCGGGGCATCGATATAAAGACCAATCTCTTCAGGTTCTTACCATTTGTAATGCTGAGGAAATTCAAGGAGCCGTCTTTCTACCTTGCTGACAAGGTGGGTCTTTAGGAGAGGTTATTGTTAGAACGATCCAACCGGTCTGGGAGGGATCGGTCCTTATGGGACCGACAATTACATCCAACAGGCGGAGCTGGAGCTGCAGGATAGTGGGACTGATTTGGAGGGGGGATTAATTATAACATATTTTCTAATTGAAGAGAGCAGATTTGGGGTTGATTTGGAGGGGATTAATTAGGAAATGTTTTCTAATTGTAGATATAGATTTGGTAGTTGATTTGGAGGGGATTAATCAGAAAATGTTTTCTAATTGAAGATGACATATTTGGGGGCTGATTTGAGGGTTGATTTGGGAGGGAAATAATTAAGGAAATATGTCAGATTTGGGAGGAAATTAGGGGAGGGCTGTTTGGGTATTTGTTGATTTATTGTTTGCTTTAACTATGTGATTTTCCTAGGGTTAGGGGTTGGTGTTGTTTGCCAAATTTAGATTGTTTTTAGGGTGTTTGGGCTCTAGCAGGCAACCAGAAAATTGTGAGAGCCAGATCTTCAATCCTCTCCAATTGAAGATCCACATGTATCTTGTCTTTCTTTCATAAAATTTTCAATAAAAAAATATTCTTGTGTGTTCTATTCCTGATTTTTTTGTCATTGGTTATCTGAAATTGTTGAAATCAGATTGCAGCCAAGGTTTTTCCTAAATTTCTGCTAGCACTTTCTATCAAACTGCTTGTTCAAAGGCTATATAATAAAATGAAATTTGATTGATTGAACTTCAATGTTGATACCAAGATTGTAGGTTTTTTGGAGTGCTTGGCAGAAGGGCAAATGTTCAGGTTATATGCCAATTTTAGAAGATCAAAACATTTCCTGCGCTTTTTAAATCCTAATGGTGCTCCGTTTACATGATTGTGAAATCACAAAAGTATCGTGGAAGGTATGCTCAAATGCCAATGATTGTGGATGGAGGATTTGGAAGATGTTGAAGGATCAGTTTTTCTAAAGGAATATAAACAGAAATTATTTGACAATGTCTCAATTGCACCTGTGGTTCTTGGACTGTCATATTACATTGCCAAATTTAGTAGATTACCAGCTAGTCTAAAGTAGAGGAGGAGCCAAGTTTAGTGGAAAAGATTGTTGATCACACGTAGCAGCAGCATTCAAGGTCTGTTCGATACTATTCTTGAGTAATCAGCTTGCATAAAGAGACAGAAAATTTTGATTTTAGTCATTTTTCTTTACGAATAGTTAATTCCGAGCTTCTACCATAGGAGCTAACAATTGATTTTCAAAGAAGTTTGTAGTGAAAGTCGCATGTCACCTGACATATATTTAATCATCCCTAAAAAGGTTATCGCTGGAAGACTGAACCTAGGTGTTTTTTGGGACCATTACTCTAACAGACAAACTGCAGGAGGTCCTTCAACTACAAGGTATCTCTTCTAAGTCCAATCCTATGCAAGGCCAAGCATTTATAAATGCATGCTATAGATGTGGTGATCCTGGTAATCAATGCATGCTTTTCTAGAAAATCTGTTTTACAAAAGAAAGCGAGCAAGAACTTGAGAATGAAACTTTGCAGAATGTACATATTTGTGAAGCGTCTGAATATGATTAGTATGAGGAGGTGTCAAAAGAGCAAGGCACTTGAGACTTTGTTGACTCAAACGTCATCACTGCAAAAACAAGAGCGTACTTGGTACATGCTTGTTGGGGTTTCAATACTAAGATAATGTAACAAAGCGTATTTTAGCTCATCAGGGATCTTAAATATATTCAACCTTTTAAACTCTAGTAATTTAACAACAAAAATTTTCCTTGTTTCTGTAGAAAGCTTCATTTGCCCATCCATTGTTTTGATTATTTTCTTTTAATTTCCATTACCTCAATTTGTTTAATTGAATTCCATGTACTCATTACATATTTTTGCTTGGTAATTCTGTTTCCAAGAAATGTGGACTTTGATCCCTGTGCTAAGAAAATACGAAATATCTTATATTCTACTTTATTTTGATCCTAATGGTTATAGCTTTAAATTTTGAGCACTCTGATAAGGACAATTAATTTCAGTGCTGATGTATTACGGGAAAACACAGAAGCTGTGTTTGCTGCTTGTGATTCTGCTCATGGAAGGTGGGCTAAACTTCTTGGTGTCCGTGCTCTTCTTCACCCAAAGTTAAGGCTTCAAGAGTTTCTAAACATCTATAACATAACTCAGGACTTTATCACAGCTACTGAGAAGGTATTTGTTACTTTTTTCCACATGTATTAGGCTTGAATGTTTTGCTTAGTTGTTGGCTTGTTAGATATTTAGAATAATTTATTTTTAATTAGATTGGCGGGAGACTAGGCTACAGCATTCGAGGAACGCTGCAATCACAATCAAAATCATTTGTTGATTTTCAACATGAATCCCGAGTATGACATGCCTTCAAATGTGAATTTCTTTATACCAGTTGCATGCTTGTAATTGTCTTGTCTCACTGATAATGAGCAAATTATCTGCAAGCTCATGCTGCTTTTCTTGTGAAAAAATTGTTCTCATTCACTCCAACTTCAATTTTCTTATACAGATGTCAAAGATTAAAGCAATTCTTGATCAAGAAACATGGGTGACTGTTGATGTTCCTGAGGAATTTCAGGCAATTGTTGCATCTCTTCATTTTCATGAGGAGTCATTTGTTAATGAGTCTCTTCAAAGCAATCATAATGAGCAGCTAATTGGTATGAATGTCTCTTTTTCTCAAGGCCGCTAAAGCTACAATGGGATGAATGGTAACACTTAGATGATTCTAAACAAATCCTCCCTATGTTGTCAGTCAGTTCTAACAAAGAAAACAGAATGGATTCTGCACCAAATCGAAATGCTGATGGTAACTCTGTTGAAACTGGAAAATCTGCATCTCAGACTCTTGTGTATGGAGGTGTTAGTTATCACATGGTGAACTGGTTAGTCTTTTTCATGATTGACGAAGTTCTGTTCCTTTTCAGCTTGTGTGCTACTTTTTGACTTCTACTAGTAGGCCTGATCATGAATTTATGCGTGCTATTCCATTAATACCCCTATTTATCATAACCATGAATAATGTACTTCAGTTTTGTTTTATCAAAGGAGAGCAATGGTTCTACTTAACATTTTATTTAACTACTGAATAATTTTCAATTTTCGTATAGTTGACAATTGTGCCGTCAATATCAATAGATTTGGTGTTAAGTTTTTCAATCATATAACTAAAATTGTATTAATTCCTGCAGTGGTTTAATACTATTGAAGATGCTGTCAGAGTATGTTGATATTTGTAAATGCCTGCCAGCTTTATCATCTGAAGTCATCCACCGTGTGGTAGAATTTTTGAAAATGTTCAACACCAGAACTTGCCAGCTTGTTCTTGGTGCTGGTGATATGCAGGTAAGTTCTTTCCATCCAAGTTCTTTCCGGAGTTATTGCTTTGCTTTCTTAAACTCTTAGTTTATTCCTAGATTGGTTTAGTGGTGTTTTAATTGTGGAGACTATCGTAACATTTTGACTGTTTACTTGTAGTCATGGATGGTATCTATTTGCAAATGATAATAATTGTGGCTATTTGTTATTGTGTATCAACAATATTGAGAATGTTAGAGAACGAAGTAAAATAAATGCTTGTAATTTAGGGTCCATTCAGAACTGTTGCAACTGCTTCTAAAATTAGTTGTGGAATTATTACGGGAAATGTGAGTTTTAAAATGTTATTTGAGGGTATTATAAACTTTTTTTTCCCGAAAAAAGTGGGACAACAACTCTCTTATATCTATCGCACTAATAGATTTAGTTCTGATAGCTTTTTTCACTACAATTTTTTTTTTTTAAATCAGCAAGCTGCAAATAAAAGTATGTCAATAACGAGTAAAGTAAAATTATGAAAAAGCTATCCAAAAAACTAGATTACTGCCTGTTGCTATTTGAACTCTATTTGAAAAAGAAGTGAAAATTGTGAAGATTGCTCTTCTAATATGCTTATTCTGATCTACTAATAATTGAACTCGGGATTTTGATTAAACCGCAGTTCCCCTCATCTTGCAATAAAAAAGATGTCTGCAAGAGCATCATAAGGTGTACCGAAGCATGAAATGCAAGTAATAACTTGAAAAGGAGTATGCTATTCAACTTATAATGGATGCAGCATTTTATGTATCTTTGCATGCTCTCAATGAGCACTTTATTGGAACTATTAGTGAGGGTGTCAATGTTTGAGAAACTTTTCCATACTTGAATACACTGATAAGTAGTGCAATGATGACAAGAATCAAGGAAGAAGAGTGCACACTATTTTTACATTCAAAATTAATGAAAGAAAGTGAGAAATAGCTACTCTTTCTAAATATTTTGAGACATCAACAATAAAACCCAAACTTTGCAAGGGAAGATAAGGCAAAAATAGTTGTTCATGGGATATAAGGGTGGAAAACAATCTTAATCGTTGCTCAAAATTGATCTTTCATTGTTAGGTCATAACACTCTTTAAAACAACACATATGACCCAAACTATGTTGTACTGATACGGATACGGAGACACATGCATGTCAATTATTGAAAATATAGGACACGAGTACGATGTGGACACGACATTATAATTTTAAATTGTGCATCAAAAATAAAAAATCATAATCTTAATAATGACAAATAAATAATAAACCAACATCATAATTAGGCGTGTTGCTTATAATATAAAAAAATAAGCATAACATATCTAGTATAACAACAACATCAAGCCTTTATCCTACTATGTGGGGTCATCTACGTGAATCATTTTTCTCAATTGTGTCATGTTAAGAGTCAAATTCTCATTTAAATTTAATAAAAAAAGCAATTTCTAATATTTTATGGCCAAGTCTTTTTTAGGTCTACCTCTACCCTTCTTAGCCTAGGCTAAATCCAATACATCTACTCTACTTACCAGGTCATCGGAAGGCCGACGTTTTATGTGTCCAAACCATCTAAGGTGACTGCCATTTGAGCTACTCCAACCTTTTCACGTACATACTCATTTCGCATTATGTATCTAAGAGTGAAACCACTCATCTATCTGAGCATTCTCATCTTTGTAACACTTAACTATATGCTTCTTTTTTAATGGCGAACATTTTATGCTTTAAATCATTGCTGGTCTCACCACTATCTCTTTGAATTTTCCTTTAGTTTGAGGGGTACTTTTCTATCACACAACAGGCCTGATGCATTCCTCTACTTCAACCATCCAACTTGAATTCTACTAATAATATCCACATCTATTTCACCATCACTTTGAACAATAGATCCAAAATATTTAAAATGGGTACTCTTATTAATGACTTGATTACCCAAAGTCACAATCCCTCTCTAGAACTATTACTATTAAATTACACTCAATAATTCAATTTTAGATCTGTTTAAACAAAAACCTTTAGACTTTAAGGTTCACCTCTATAATTCAATTTTTTTCGACTCCCTCTCCAGTCTTATCACCAAGAAGAATATCATCAGCAAAAAACATACACTAAGGAACATCCTCTTGTAAATGTCTAGTAAGAATATCCATGACTAACGCAAAAAGATATGAGCTTAAAGCTGATCCTTGATGTAATCCAACGGAAATAGTAAAATACTTGGTCAAACCACCTTGTGTTTGAACACAGGTAATAGCTCCTACGTACATACATTAATGACTTGAAGATAAGCATTATTAACTCCTTTCTTTTCTAGGACTCTCTAGAGCACGTCTCTTGAAACTTTAGCATATGATTTCTGTAAATTAATAAATATCATATGTAGATCCTCATTGTTTTTTCTATACTTCTCCATCATCAATAAATGTATAACTTCCATAGTAGACCTACCTGGCATGAATCCAAATTTATGTTAAGAAACCTTAGTGTCACATCGTAACCTATGCTCAATAAATCTTTCTCATGGTTTTAAAGAATGACACATTAACGTAAGTCCAATATAAATCACACTCTTGTGTGTCACCTTTATTCTTAAAATAGGAATCAATACACTTCTTCTTCACGTATCTAGCATCTTTTAGTCTTCAAAATTATATTGAAAAGTTTTGTAAGCTAAGAAATTCCTTTTTTTCCTAAGCATTTTTACACCTCTATTGAAATATTATCCGGTTCAACCATTTGTCCTCATTTCATTTTCTTTAAGGCCTCGGTAACTTTGGTTTTTACTAATACAACGACAAAAATAGAAATCTCAATTTTTATTTAGGATGCTAAGGTCATAAGAGTCAATCGTATTATCACAATCTTCATTGAAAAAACTTATTGAAATATCTCATCCACCTTTATTGAATATATTCTTCTAATAAATACTTTTTGATCTTCATTCTTAATGCACTTCAAATTAGATTATTACTTTTCCCATCTCTTTGTTTGGCAAGCTATACATACATTTTTTATCTTGTTTAATATCTAATATAACAACAACAACAACATCAAGTCTTTATCCCACTACGTGTGGTCGGCTACATGAATCCTTTTTTTCATTGTCTTGTTAAGAGTCAAATTCTTATTTAAATTTAATAAAAGGTTATTTCTAATATTATCTAACCAAGTCTTTTTAGGTCTACCTCTACCTTCTTAACATAGGCCAAATATAATATATCTACTCTCCTAACAGGGTCATCAGAATACCGCCATTTTACATGACCAAATCATCTAAGGTGACTTTCTCTAATCTTATCTGTTACTGGATCTACTCTAATCTTTTACGGATATGCTCATTTTGTATCCTGTCTCTAAAGAGTAAATACACTCATCCACTTGAACATCCTCATCTCAGCAACACTTAACTTAATATTATGCTCATCTTTTAATGGTCAACTTTCTGTGCCATAAAGCATTGCAGGTCTCACCACAATCTTATAAAATTTCCCCTTAAGTTTGAGTGGCATTTTTCAATCACACAACAAACCCAAAGCATTCCTCCACTTCAACCATCCAACTTGAATTCTAATAATAATATCCTCATCTATTTCACCATCACTTCGAGCAATTGATCCAAGATCTCTAAAACGAGTACACTTATTAATGGCTTAATCGCTTAAAGTCACAAATCCCCCAGTAGATATATAACTACTAAAATTATACTTCGTGTATTCGATTTTAGATATACTCTAACAAAAAACTTTAGACTCTAAGGTTGTCCTCTATAATTCGAGTTTACCTTTAACTCCCTCTCTAGTTTATTAATAAGAAGAGTATCATCAACAAAATGCATACACCAGGGTACATCCTCTTTCAAATGCCTAGTAAGAACATCAATGACTAAAGCAAAAAGATAAGGGGCTTAGGGATGATCCTTGATGTAATCCAATTGAAATAGGAAAATACTTGGTCAAACCACCTTGTGTTTGAACACAAGTAATAGCTCCTACATACATATCCCTAATGACTTGAATGTAAGCATTATTAACCCATTTCTTTTTAGAACTCTCTATAGCACTTTTCTTGAAACTTTATCGTATGATTTACCTAAATCAATAAATATCATATGTAGATCCTCCTTATTCACTCTAAACTTCTCCATCAATCCACTCAATAAATGAATAGCTTTCATGGTAGACTTACCCAACATGAATCCAAATTGATTTTGAGAAACATAGTATCACGTCGTAACCTATGCTCCATAACTCTCTCTAAAGTTTTAAAGTATGACACATTAGCTTAATTTCTTCTATAATTTACACAATCTTGTGCATCACTTTTATTTTTAAAAATATGAATCAGTACACTCACACTCACTCTCCATTCATTTGACATCTTTTTAGTCTTTAAAATAATATGAAAAAGTTCAGTAAGCCAAGAAATTTCTTCATCTCCTAAGCATTTCCACACCTCTATTGGAATATCATCGGGCCCAATAATTTTTCTACACTTCATTTTTTTAAATTATCTCTAACTTCAGTTTTACTAATACGCCGATAAAAATAAAAAAATCTATTTTCATTTAGATTGTTATGGTCACTAAAGTCGATTGTATTCTCACAATTTTCATTGAAAAACTTAGCAAAATATCTCATCCACCTTTGTTGAATATCCTCTTCTAAAAAAATACTTTTTGATCTTCATCCTTAATGCACTTCACTTGAACTAAATCCTTACTACTACTATCTCTTAATTTGGCTAATTTGTACATATATTTTTCGCCCTCTTTAGAATCTAATATATTATGTAAATCATCAAAAGCTAAATACTTTATATCTTTACCAATTTTTTAAGCTTTATATTCAAACCAATTTTTATAACAAAACTTTTTTTTTTTTCACATTTTAACGTCACCACTAATTATTTTTACTATTAGGAGCTTTTTCTTCTGATACTTCTAGCACTTCTTTTGCAATATTTTTAATATAACTAGTTTTTTTTTTCACATAATATTATCTTATG